TGCGACCACCACAAAAGAAACAGTTTGTGCACATCGCGACGAAAACGAATACGTTGTAACTCGCCGCAGAAGAATTCTTCTGTGACCCGCCGCAAAAAAAGGAATCCTTTTTGAGGGGCACCACGACGAGGTTTTCTGTGTAATCGGGAAGGGCGAAAGCAATATCCCAATTGCTTGTTCCCCCCACACTCTGAAGCAGAGTTTTGTTTAATATATTTGTTCATGTGCAAGGTCGGTTGTTCAACTTGTTTGGTCTCAACCATCCTGTGGTGTTGAACCGTCGCTTTGGAGAGACAGCGCCCCGCGCCCCCCCTTCTCCTTCTTCCTCCCCCTCCTCACCGTTGCCTCTTCTTTCGCACGTGCCCATGACGGCACACCCCTCTCACGCGCCGTGGCCCCGTAGGGAACTCCACCGAAGGCCACACTGGCCGCCGTCGCACGCGCTCTCCCAGCCCACCGCATGTGCATGTCGGCACACCCCTAACACACTTCCTGGCTTGGAAACTCCACCGAAGGCACCAGAACCGCGTTCGCATGCGCTCTCTCCGCCACCCGCATGCCCAGGTCGGCACACCACTCACACGGTTCGTGGCCCTATAGGGCGCTCCACCGGAGGCCCCAGTGGCAGCGTCCACGTGCGCCCCCCGCCCACTGCATACCCACTTCGGCGCACCCCTTCTCACGGTGCGTCGCCCCATACGGAGCCCCAGTGGAGGCCCCACTGGCAGGGTGCGCATGCGCCCTCCCGCCCACCGCGTGCCCATGTCGGCGCACCCGTCACGCGGTTCGTGGCCCCATAGGGAGCTCAGCGCCCGCGTACCGCCGCCATTCTATTTTGGCACACCCCTCACACGTTTCGCGCCCCCATACTAAATTCCTTTCTAACTCTTGAAATTCCTTATTTAATTCCTCTCTAACTCCCTTTTTCTTTCCCGCCCCTGACCCCCTGGCGTCGTAAACAGAAACACGTAAAAACTAAATTCCTTTATAACTCTGGGAATTCCAACGCTGTAGACATGCAGAACCACACATTGTCTTATCAAAAGATGAATTCCCGCCACATTTATTGCTGTACTTGTGTACAGCGCGCGCTACAGCAAATAATTCCTAAACCAATTAACGCTGTACTGTAGCCCCAAAACAACTATAGTAAAGAGCTCCCGCCGAACATGATACGCATGGCCTCGGTACGCACAGCTACGCATGGTTGTTTCTGTGGACAGGCCAATGTGTCATGGATCTCGCCCCGAGGCGGAGGGCGGGCGCCGCGGCAACGAAAGGGCAGAGCACAAGAACAAGGAAGAAACATGCGAAACATCCCTTCATGCACGTGGAAAGGTCGGAAAACAAGGTCAACCTCCCACAAAAGAGGAACCTAATCCATAACA